AAACAACTCTATAATTTGGTTGCTACCAATGTGTCTTAACTATGATAAAAATGCTACTCAGTGGTGAGTGTTGGAGAAAATAATCAATTGCAGCAACGTGCAGAACTATAAAATACAGAAATATAAAACTTATCGTCCTATCGAGTCTCGTGACAGCACGATGTCCTGAAATGAAATTGCCCGTTGACAACTGCTGTGATCTCCGTGGACAATCACTCCCAAGATACAGCAATCATAAACCACTTGTACAGCAATTACGAATGGTTTTCAGAACTCTCAAGGCTCCAATCAAGACTTTTTAATAATTGCGTGGGGAGTGATCCGAATCCCTAACGTCCCACACAAATGCACATTTCTTACCACTTGGGCACTTCATATAATTTGATTATTTCTTTCACATTATATTTATACTATAAATATATAACAATGAGTTTGTCTACAATAATTTTAAATTCACAATCTTGTATATATATATATCATTCTTAAACATCCAAAAGCATATCAATCCATCTTCTGTTTAAAAATCCAAAAATATCACCAAAAAATGCAAAAGCCCAAAATTTGTCACTCTTGTGCAATGGATATTAAGGATTCATCTATAGAAAATACGTATCCAGAGGTTATTTTGTGCATCCAAACCAATCTATTCACAACATCCTACTGTAGAGTCACAAGAAGAGTGATGAAGATTGACTCGTCATAAAAAAATAATAATAATAAAAAAATCATGATTGAAGATTCCACGTAAACCCGTACGGAGAATTGCACACAGCATTGCAGCAATGGGAAGAGGACTATTGAGGCCATTTAGATCAATACAAATTCACCTTAAGAATCATAATTGACAAGTGTAATACTTCCCATAAATTGCAAGTTATTTGAATTTCTCCTTTTCATCAGTTAGATTATGTAATGCGTAGCTATTATATTTAAAATGAAATTGGAAAACTTTTCATATCCCAAGTATTGCGTATATGATATTATAAGAGCATATTCAAAAAACTTTCTATTTTTAGAAAGCATGTTCTATCATTTGAAGAGCATAGAAAGTGAAAATTTTAAAGTACTACAACAATCTCTTTATATTTAACACCTTCCCAAAAATATTTATTATTTTCCATTATCTTTTATTTTAACAAGATTTTTTTTTTTTAATTATTGAATGCATTCAATTATAGAGAGTGAGTTAAGCTCTCCAAATTTGAAGAGTCTAATTCATTCATGTTAATTTAAAAAGTCTCTTGAAGTATGATTTTAGGTGTTAACTTTTTAAAATAAAGAGTATCTCATGTTTAAAGAGTCTTTTAGAGATGCTCTAAACTTTTCAATTATCCTTTTGTAATGAAATAAAGCATCGGATTGTAAATAAAATTAGGATTTAAATTGAAGTCACAAAACTCACCCACTTAAATTAATCAGAAACATAAACACGACTACTATTTAAGGCTCATTTGACATGATTTTTGTTTTTACTTTACTTCCGCTTCCTTTAGAAGAGTTTTTAGATGAAATAATCTTAATTGTTGTTTAAAAACTTATTCTTAAGAAAACTTATTCCAAAATTGCTTTCAGATGAAGCTACTCTTATAAGTAAATAAAACATTTTCATAAAAATTAGTCAAATGAGTCTAAAAACAACTTTCGAATCTCAAAAGTTCATTTTACTTTTCAAAAGTCATGCCAAATGAATCTTTATTAAAAGGTAGATGATAACCATCTAGGTGTCAAGTAACTGACATTAAAAATCTTAAATTGAAAAGACGTCTTTGTATTTAAGATATTCAGTCACTTAATTCTGCTTAGATTGCTGTCATCAACAATTTAGAGACCTTCTTATTCTCTTATTAATCGTTGCATAAATAAAAATGCAATGATTAATTAAAATTAAAAATATTCGAGTTGCTCAAAGTATCATAAGCCTACCAATTGCATGACTAATATTATTTCCTTTCAAGATTTTCATTATCACATTCTATCAAAACATCTTTATTATTTCGAATAAAGGAGCCTTTCTTTCAACGATTACACCCCTAAAAGAAAATTAATATCATTACAGAGTGAATAAATTAAGGTATAACAAAAGAGCCTCTACTTAAAGCTCATTTTGATTTTAGGGAAAATTGCAATAGAGACCCCAAACTTTTAAAATATTAGCAAACTTTCTCCAATTTTTTGTTTAGAAACCCAAAAGAAAATATACAGTTTGACTTCAAAATTTAGAACCAAAACTCACTTCAATTTACTCATAATTACACAGCAGAAGCAAAAATTTCCACTTAGAATAGAATTTTCAAGGACCACATATGACCATTTTTGTTTAGAAACCCAACAGAAAATATACAGTTTGACTTCAAAATAAACGAGCATGAACTGGGCTAGATCGGAAAAATCTTGAAATCAACCCCAAATTCTAACCTCAGCTCAAATTCAATACTTTAAGCATGAATGCGGGTTCACCGTGGCGGTGGAGGTGCTGAGTTTGTGTTTGAGGTGGAGTGAGAGGAAGAAGACAACGATTTTTTTATTCTATTTTTTTTTATTTTTTAAATTTAATTTCTAACTTATTTTAATGTAACAAATGAAAAGTTACTATTTTACCTTTTCAAAAATATTAAAAATATGGTCAAAATCAAATTTCTTAATCAACTAACAGATATTTAGATAAAAACCGTCCAAAAAGATCCCCGTCGCAACGTTTCAAAAGGTTTGAAATTACAATTGCAATAAATTAAAAAATTTAGGAAAAGTCAATTAATATTTTAAGTTTGGGGTGACAATTACATCAAACTAGAAATTTAGAAAAAGCATGCTAATATTTTAAATTTGGGATGACAATTGCAACAAATTAAAGATTTAGAAAAAACCTGCTAATATTTTAAGTTTCGGATGACAATCGCAACAAATTAAAAATTCAGAAAAACCTACTAATATTTTAAAGGTTTGAAACCTCTTTTTCCTCGATTTTATTAGATTTTATACTCTCTCAGTAAATACCAATTTCGAAATGAAACTATGCAAACAGGGGATAAAACACTCAAATTACAATGTCCATGTTAATAATTGAACTTCGTCTGTTGCAAAATAATCAATAAAGTTCGATTGCGATTAAATTGGTCGATCCCTCAATTAACATATGTAAACAGAAAATTTTAGTTCGCGTAGAATAGTCCATTAAAGAAAAAACAACACGTCTTACAGAGTAATCAAATTTTAAGAAAAACTCCAATACCCGCTTATAAACAACATATAATTCAGTGGGGCTGACATTAAAACTTCAATATAAGTTGGCCGTTTGTAATCCTACCACAGTTTCAGTAAATTCATGGTGAGCAATGGCTTACTTCAGTTACTTGCCTTGAGAAAATTGAAAACTGCACACGATGGACAACCCTATATAGATAGGTGAATTCTCGAGTAAAAGAGAATTCGAGAAGAAAGTCTCTCAATGGCTGATTCATTAATGACAAAATTGTAAAATGAAACGACTAACATCCAAACGTACGGCCATCAAAGGAAATAGGCAACACGCCCTTATAGATATACATATCTACTAACAAATGTTCATACGATAGGGAAAGAAGACAGGAAATGAAAAAATATCACCCTCATTTACAAGGACAGGCACCAGAGCTCCACCAAAAAATACCTCATAAGCTCTTTCAGGAATAGAAGACAACCCATCAATCTGAAGGAAAACTCCCATCATCAAATTCAAAAGCCAAAAAACCAGATAAAATGATATTAGAAATTTGTTTGTCTATCAATGTTCGCAAATTGTGGAAAATGCTTTGAGACTAGAATCTAACTTCTATCTTAAAGCGAGGACTGACCTTAACTAGCCATTTTGTCAGTTAACCTGGAAGGTAAGGCTTCTGATATGCTAAAACGAAAATCCAGATCACCCTCATTTACAAGGACAGGCACCAGAGCTCCACCAAAAAATACCTCATAAGCTCTTTCAGGAATAGACGACAACCCATCAATCTGAAGGAAAACTCCCATCATCAAATTCAAAAGCCAAAAAACCAGATAAAATGATATTAGAAATTTGTTTGTCTATCAATGTTCGCAAATTGTGGAAAATGCTTTGAGACTAGAATCTAACTTCTATATTAAAGCGAGGACTGACCTTAACTAGCCATTTTGTCAGTTAACCTGGAAGGTAAGGCTTCTGATATGCTAAAACGAAAATCCAGCCAGTTAGTTCGGAGACTCAAGACAAATCAAAAGATCCTTGCCCTTCGCTTATTGCATAGAGAAGTTTCTTGTGCATGATTTCCTGATCAAAGAAACATAAATGGTAATTTATAGTTATTGTCCTCAGAAAAGAAGGGCAATATCACCAGATATTGGTTGTTTATCACTTAGCAGACTGCTTAGAAAAGATATTGAGTGTGTTCGATTGCAGGCATGGAATTTACATAAAAAAATAATAATAATAAATTCCAGACAATTAAATTGCCTAGAACTTATTTGCATGGGAATTGTCAATTATATGTGATTGATTTAATTTTCATTTAAAAAATGTTATACTTGTCCATTTTTTTATTAGTAGATAAATAAGAGAGAATTACTTGAAAAATAAAAATATACTCTTCCTAAAGAAAATATTTTCCTTATTTTCAAGGAAAATATGGTCATGTGACCAAAAGAAGGAAAATATTATCCACGCAAAAATATATCAATCAAACAACACAAAAGTAGGAATTTTGGTAAAAACCGACATTTTTCATGAAAAATATTGGTAATCAAACGCACTCTTTACGTTAAATAGGGAAAATTGCACAATCAGTCCCCACACCATTGCCCAAGTAGCAGTTGGTATTCTCAACCTTTTTTATCTTGAAAGAGAATCTAAACAAAATTTCTGTCACGTTTTCAAGTAACCCTCGAGTATCCAAATTTCTAAAGCTAGATTTTGCTTCACAGATTAGAACCGGTGCCCAGAAATTAGAAATGGGGAATGTTTCCATGCAAGATACTATTTTATAGAAATTTATCTTCTATTGTGGAGGGACTGATTGAGCAACTACATTAAGTTAAAGACCAACGCTGCAATTTCCCTTATTAAATATAGTGCATGCACACTTTATTAGTCTAAACCTCATTATTGGCACGCTGTTTAGAAATGCTTCATATCACATATAAAATGTAACAAGTACCAAGAAAAAATTGATAATTTCATTAACCTCACTCTTACCTTGGAGGAGTAGGGAGGAAGCTTTAAGTAATTCGCACATGTCATGACACTTGGCAAGTCATCATCAGCAGATTCAGATTGACCAGAACCATTGGTTGTGCTGTTGCCCGTGCTTGAATGCTGTTCCAAAGGTATGCATGTTATTATACCATTGATAGCATAAACCCACTATGAGATTCATTTGATATTTGGCTTAATGCATATAACGAGACAATTGATATTTAACCATGCAAATGCAGGGAACCGAATTTGCATCTGAGTGATAAGTGTGTCATTCCAAGGGATATATTACCTTCCACAACTCTCTGCGGCCACAGAGCAGATAGTCCAACTCAGTTGGCGAAAATATTTGTAGAGTCGAAATGTCAAAAACCTGGAAAAATCATAAAAAAGGACAAATATGATGTTTTTCTTACTGAGTCTAAGATGAGCATATCAAGAAATAAGAACTTGACCGGCAAAAAATCATTTTCCATCCTCCAACTAGAGCTTATTAAGACAAACATATCAGGAAGAATAAGCATTGCTTCAAAATAAGTTTCCATCAACAATTTAGAGCTTATATACATGTTAAGAAACAACTTTAAAGCACTGACAGTGCTATAGTAGGAAAAAAATGCAAATTAGAGGAAAATTTGTTGTTGAATCTTGACATAAGAAAATTGCTTAAAATGAAATCACATTGAAAGTTGACTTAGACCAAATATATAAGCAAACCTGATTAAAGCCAGATCTAAATGCTTCAATTTGCGGCAATATTCCAGTCCCCACAGTTGCATCAACCACAAGGGAAATATAATCCTCCAAACTAGTTATATCTACCTGCAAATTCCAATGGAGTAGAAAGAGTTCAAATATATAATAATAACACAAACAGAGGGCAACCAGTAAAAGAAATAATTACAAGAGTAGACAGTATATCCAAGGGTAAGGGATGTACATTCTTGTCGCCTGGTTTGAGAACATATTCAGGATAGCCTGGAAGGGTGAAATCTAAACAAAGCTCTTCAATTGAAGCCCCTTGAAAACGTAAATCATCTAAGGTAAGACTACCCATTGATTCCAAATGCTGTTTCCGGCATACTAGGGCATGCATTTGTTGCAGGGTAGTCCCAAGTTCAGCATCAAAAGAATTGATATCATGCAAATCCAGATCCTGCAGAAATTAAAAAAATATGAATTGTTGTTAATTAAATCATCTTATAGAAGTAAATAATGCTTCCTCTGAAGTTAACATTCGCAACATTGACTTACTTGACCGAGAACAAGCTTATTAAAGGCAACTGATAGAGGCAAATCCAAAAGCCTTCCATCTTGGAGAGCTTTCGCCATAACACGACCAAGCAACCGGAAATATTCAGTAACTTTAGAAAATTGGCTACCATCAGAAGTATCAGCATTGGGTGGCCAAGGACGGGGAAATAACCCAAGAGGTGATTGGATAATATCTCCATCACCCTCAGCTTTCCTATCCGCTTGTCTGTCCACATCTACTTCCATTGAAGGTCTAAATGATTGCAAATTTGACCTCCACATTCCCAGTTCTACTTTTTGAAGGTCGTGACTCAAAAGAGTGAAAAACTCCAGAGTAGGCCCCAATCCAGTGCCAACTTCACCAAAATATTCAACCTCAAGAACAGCTTTCTGACTGGAATACATTTCCATAACTTTTGCAGCAGAATCCAATATCCGATTGCGAGACACACGAACTTTCTGACGCTGTAATCTTCCATTCCTTCCCTCTCTTTCATTTGTTGAACCATAACCATCAGCACCTTGCTGCTGCTGAAGCCGATATAATGCACGAGACAGTCCAAAAGCAGTTGAATAAAAATATTGGCGCCGGGTTTCAAAGGGAAACAAAAATGGGCATGCTTTAGTCAGCTGGTAGCACCATGAAGGAAGAGACCCGCTGCACAGTGCTAATGCATCCTGGATCTGTCTAGCCAATTTTGGAGTAAGTTTGCTACTGATGAATTTCTCAGGAGGAACTTTGATACCAATGTCACCAAGATCATCTAGACTTGCAATTTTTCCTTCAGCGAAACTATCAACCGCCCCCTGCACCCGCAAGCGCGGTGCAAGCTGATTCAACCCCTCCAGTACACGTAATAGTGCTAAAATATTATAAATATGATTACTTTTTTCCAGATCACAAGGAAGTTCCCCTTGCAAAATGCTATCTAAAAGTGAGACACGATGCTGCAATGAATCTGAATTGGATATACTCGATAAACTAGCTTTTGTAGACCTTGATGGAGCTGCCGAGTTCTCAGCCCCAACCGAAGACTTATCAGCTTGGCTATCTGCTCTCTGATACATGATGGTGTAAATATCTCTCCAGAGCCTACTACCATCGCTCGACACAAAATCACTGCCATCAAATCTCTCATCATCATCATCTTCCAGCACAAGTTGTCGTTGGATAGCCTGATAAATAGTCAAATGTCTATTAAGCTGCTTCCCGCCTGCCGTAAATATTAGTCTTGGCGGATCGCTGGACCCAAAACGTGGTCGACCATGCCGATCTCTGCCTCTTTCACCTCTACTATTAGCAGATGCAAGTCCAGCCATAGCAGCAGCAGCAAAGGACATTGCACCTCTTGAACCAAAAGAACTACCACTCTTAAATTCAGCAGAATCCGATTCTCTCCCTGCAGTATCTCTGTGGCTAGAACTACAAGGCGGATTATTCTGGCCATCTATGGGTTCAACAGCAGCGCTATCTTCTGCAGAGTCGCTCAATTTAACATCATGCACTTTATCTGGCGTGCAGAAGGGAAGAGAATCATCTCTAAGTACCTGCCAATTATAAAGATATCAGTGACAGATTACCTATTAACAGAATATATCAGTAACATATAGCCCACCAGTTTAGAGAGAAAAGAGGAAGGGGGAGGGCGGGGGGCAACATGTTATTTTCCATTTTCAGAAACAACTAATACCAACTAAGTCTAGAGAGATGCTCAAAAATGTCAAGTCAATAATGAAAAAAATTCCTACTAATGCAGATCAAAATAAACATAACACGCGATAAAGCAGATACCACATCCTACTGATTGACTTACTAATAAATCTCCAGGTCTGGTATATAAAAATGACGCAATAGATCTGTCCAGAAACAATTGTATATTTTCAGAACACAGAAGACAGTGTGAAAAAGCACCACTGAAGCTTTTAGGTTCCACTTTTCACATTTCTTGTGATGAATAATAATCCTGAACTAGAGATCTCCATGTCATCAATTTACCCATTAGACTCAAACAGCAATTGTTTTTTTTTTTTTTTTTTTTTTGGGGGGGGGGGGGGGGGGGGATCATGATATCACCCCCATAGGAGCAAACCCAAAAAAAGAAAAACTAAAAATATTATTATGTACCCTATTATTACCACCTCCAATCAGTTAAATATTAAATTAGAAGTCAATTTCAAGACCACCAAATCACAATAGAAAATTAGAAGAACGTAAAAGTTGATCATGGAATCCAGTAGCATACATCATCATGCTCATCATCATCTTCGGATATATCATCATCTTCAATCACCAATTCTTCATTGAGTTCAATGGGAGAAATGTCCAAGTCATCATCCTGCGTTGCAGATAAAGAATTGTCATGTTCAAAAGTATATAATTTTGATGAACATTCCAAAAAGAACAGGAAAAATTATGGCCAGAAGACACTAGCTTGATTAATTTTTTATTTTTTATTTTTTAGATGGGAGGTTATGACGTGAAAAGATCTAAATGAGCAGGGAAATTATACATGTGCAACAGTATTTAGAGGTAAATCAGACAGAGGGAATGAGAGCAGAAAAGTAATATCAACTTGCAAGAAGCTTGCTAAATGGAGGAAAATTTTCCAAGAAGTAATTAAGCCTAGTGCACATAAAATATAATGTGAAATATTACGAAAAAACAAGGAAAAAGAGTAAAATGTGGAAATAAAAAACTTCCCTGCCCCTAAAATAAAGTCCAAAAGGCAATTCCGTACTCAATTTAGGTCTAGAGAACTGTACAATTGTTTTTTTAACTAAAGAATGACTCGTTCCAATATCAATTGCCATGAAAGGTGAATTTCTTGAAAAATCTTCATGCACTGATTTTCTAGTTACTTCCTTTTCTAGATTCAGGGGGCATTATGGGGGAACCTTAATTACAGGAATGACTCTCATTCCAACTTCTGATAACTAACAGAGATGAATTCCTGAAAAAAAAGTTTAAAAAAAAAAAATTGAACATCATTCACATTTTTCCTACTCCGTCGTATTTCAATTTTCAGTTGAGAAGAATGTTGAAGAAGGAACCTTATGGATACCTAGAAGAGCAAAAAATAGTCACATTTCCATAGTAAGTAATAACTAAGACATGGTAAAACAAGTATCCTAATTTTTGGAAAGCTTATTTAGATTCCAAAGACCTGAAGTACAAACATATGCACTCATGTCATCCATGGCGTCTATCTACATCAGTGGTCATAAAAAGGCAAAATGCTTTCAGCTGCTTCATCAAGAAGCAAAGATATGTCATCATCAAATGGACCAAAGCTAATAAAAAATTTAGCGAATTCCAGACCATATATGGAATTATATGTTTTAGCACATCATTTTCTTCAATAAAATGCTCAGTACATACCGAACTAGAGTCTGCATCTACAGGCTTCATCTGCGCATCTTTATCCAGAGCTGCTCTTCTGCGAGCAGCATTTCTTGTCTGCGGTCCTCTTCCCTCTTCTTGGGTTGGCTTCAAAATAGCTTTTCCCTTTGACTTTGACGAGCTTGTATCTTTTTCGTGGGATGACTCTTTCTTGGCAGTACTACCTAAAAGAACTGATGATCTAGATCGCATTGAATTACGTCGAGCAGCTGGAGTGAAAGTAGATGGTGACGATGCACCAGCTGCTGGAGGAGTGGTCCCAGACTCGGGATTCCCAGCAGAAGAAAGCTTTTGACCAGACTCGTATCGTTGAACTCGGGGCCAAAGGAAGTCTTCAACGGCAGCTAAACTTGCTAATGGATCAATCAGCACAACATTTGACGAGTAGTCACGGAGAGATTTTTCTCCTTGTACTCTGCAAAGGCGCAGCTTGAATGGCTGAGAAAGTGCACCTAGACCAGAAGAAAGATGTGCATTCCCACCAGATGATCGAGACGTATGGCTCAGCACGACAGGGAAACGCTCTAACGAGGATAGAGCATCTTGAAGTTTTTGAACCAAAACACTCATGGGAGCTCCATTCTTTTCATCAATGCCTGAAGGAAGAGCAACAGTAACAAAAGATTTGCACCTTCTGATGGCATGTTCTCGAAGCTTAGGCAAATTAACTTCAGAAGAACTGTCTTTGGAGAAATATCCACAAGTTATATAGTTAAGCAAAGAGGCAATGGCTCCACTACCAATAAACTCAAAAGTCGACACACCATCCCCTCTGCTAAGCTCTTGCAGCATCTCAGTTATCACCTCAACCAAGTATTCCTCCTTAAGAGTAGAAAAATCAGAAAGCTGAGAATCAGAAGCTTTTGATTTCCCCTTTAATTTAGTCTTTTTATCATCAATACTGGCATTCAACTTCGCGCAAAGATTCTTGAGGCGTAGGAGATCATCTGTAACACCAGTTTCACGGCCCTCCAGATCAGATGGAAAGTATTTATCTTTGAAAGCTTTAGCACGTGCACTGACTGTCGCTCGAAGACTAGAATTGACAGTTGGAATTTCAATTGAATTTGGAGGTGAACCAATACTCGGAGCTGAACTTCTAGTGTCTTCAGCAGGATTTACATCTGAACTCGAATTACTACTACGTCGTCGATACCGCCTAGAACGTGAAGAACCAGGAATAGAATCATTATACTTTTCACCTGATGATGGCTCCAAAGAAGCAGTACTGCTAGATCCAGCTATTATTAAAGAATCCACAGCATGAACAACACCTTCCCTTACAAACATCTTTGAAAAAGTACCAGGAAGCTTTTCCATTAAGATTTCTGCTATTTGGAGAGCAGGTACAAGCACTTGAGGATCTTTCCAAGCTAGCACCCCAGCTAAAAAACTAAATAAAACAAGCGAAAGCTAAGGATCTCTCTCTTGCTAACCACTAAAGAAAAATATGCTGCAAATACAAGTCTGGAGGAAACATATACCTGGATATGTTTGTGGAAATTATCAGAGATTGAATCATTTCAGAAGTGCTGAAATACATAAGTTTTCCGATAACTGAAAGGCACTTGTGCCGAACAGGACCATTTACACTGGACCCATATATCTGCATGGGAAAAATATGGCAAATTGTTTATAGAATAAAGGGCAGTAAAACATGGGTAAATTAATTCCTTCTAAAAACCAACCTGGATTAGAACAGGGAGGAGATCCATTCCAAACTGCTGCAGCAGCTCAGGATGATCATTCAACAATTTCTCACGAGCTGAAACCTCTAGCACGTTCCCATTCAAATCTTCCTGTTTGGTGGAATTGCCTGCAGGACCCTTCTTAGAAAAAGAACCTTTAACAAACAGATTGCTGCTG